GGTGGGGTAAGTCTGTCCCCTTAGACTAGAGCCTAGTGGGCGTCACTATAGTTTTGTATAATGAACTTAGACTTCCATGATTTTTTTCTGAAGAACCTCAAGATTTTGTAGTGCTCCAGGAGCGTTAAATGAATTCAGTGGTGCCAGAGATAGTACTGTCAGAAATGTTGGACAAAGTGGAGTTAACAGAAACCAGAGCTAAGTTACCTGAGAGAGTGCTGAGATTCAGAGAGCAGTGCTTATTTTGTACACAACTTCCCCAAAAGACGATTTCAATTTATATTTTAACAACAAAATGTTATTTTCTTATCAATTCATATTTTGTTTTTACTTCATGGATTAAGAAAATAGAGCCTGATGAACTAAACAATGCAAGAAAGAAACTGACCCTGAGAATGAAAAGCTGCAGAAAATAGAATTCCAAGGTCAACAAGCAGCCTTAGAAGGGACCAGGAAATGAATCTCTTTAAATAGGATTTCTAAGAGATGCCTACAAATGACGAGTGAACGTGGCCGAGACCAACACTTAGATGTAGAAATGCTGCCCCCTAGGGTCATCCTCTGCATCAGGAAAATAAGTTTTAGGAAAGCACTTGCCATCCTTGCTGAGGGAGGCCCTGGATTCCCGCAGAAACACAGGCACAAGAAGGGTGAGTGTGGGGTCCTAGGCCCAAGCTCTTCAACTCTTAAACACGAGATCTTGTTTTCATCTCAGGGAGAGATTTCTAAGTCATCCAGCGCCTGAGGGCTTATTTAAGGATGGCCAATCGACGTATTCCTGGGACCCACACACAATAGAACAGCTGCTGACACCCTATGATGCTGGACAGCCCCAAGTGCAGAGCGGAATGAGCTGCTTGTAGATTTGATCTCCCCTATTTTGTCCTCTGAGATGGTAGAAATATATCCATGTTTAGAATATAACAGTGGTGGAATAATTGGGGCTTTTCGGGGGGAGGGGGAATTGCATAATTTTTTTAAAAATGCCCTTTCATCTAGACCAGATGTCGGCAGACAACTTCTGTAAAGTGCTAGACAGTAAATATTTTGGTTTTGCAGGCCATACTGCATCACAACTACTCAACTCTGCTGTCATGGCACAAAAACAGTCATAAGTAATATGTAAATGGAGAAGCATGGCTGTATTCCAGTAAAACTTTAAAAAACAGACAGTAAGGTGAGTTTGGCCCACAGGCCATTATATGCCAACCCTGATCTAGATAATAAAACTGAACCTTACCAGTATGTTAGCAGGAGAAGGCCAGCTCTGCTCTGATTCCTCACATGTCAAAGATCTGGGACCATTTCCTAGTGGAGGCACAGGGGCTGCTTGTTTAAAGGGTGCTCGAATAACCAACCAGCAAAGAGATGTCTGATGCCAAGATGAGCAAGATCAAATACTGGGATGCTAAAATACAGCTGGAATCTAAGAATGGAAGAGGGCCTCTCTGACCATTTCCATACCAGCAACAATTTAGGCAGAATTACAAACATCTCTTTACCAAGAGACAAGATAAACTGAGGAAGATTCGAGCAAAGATTAGGGATTACTTAAAACCAAGCCACTGCCACTTTTCATCTACATAGCAAAGGCTTTATTTAGCACAGGACTAAAGTGAAAAGTAGACCCAGAGATGAAAAGGCTGTCAGGAGACAGGGGACTGGTGTTAATAGCCTGGATATCTACTGTCTTATGCAACATAGCAGATTACCTTTTAGTGTAGTGCTCCTACCTCAGTCTGTAGAATATGGTGTTTCTATGCAGTGAGTTAGATAGCCTTGATTCTGACCTTTCATACTCACGTTAGAGACAGATTCAGTATTCCATTTCCTGGTATGTTACTTGTGTCTAGAGTTCTAACATACAGTAGTCTATACCATTTCCAACAGCTGAATTTTGCTCTCTGAACAGAAACTTTCGGGTTATTTGTTTTTTCCCAGGGCTCATCCCAGAAATCATGGATAGAAAAGTTTCTTTCAATTTGTTTTTCAAATAGTGTTTCAATAGCAAACCTTTATTGGTGACTAGCCTTCTTTTGGTATTTCCCCACCATTAAAAATTGTTCAAGTTTTTAACCTGTTATACTATGTTCTACTATGTCTCTCATGTTCTCTCAAAATTAGTTTTATCACTGTAGAAAATGCAATGGTTTCATAGCTTCATCTATCAGAGGAAATAAAACTCTTACAAAGAATAGTGTACTGCATCTTTAAGCAGTAGAGGGTAAACTACCTGCAAATGTGAATTTCTTAGTTTCATTAAAATATATATATAGTTGTTAACCTTTCGTGTGCCAAAAAAATTCTAAGTTACATTTTCCTTCAAAGCAATGTACTTTTTTCTACATATGCAGTATGTAGTTAGCATAAAATCATTGGTGCCATGAAAATTATTTTTAAATTTAAAATAAATATTTAAATATCACAGAAGAGTGGGCTCTTTCTTTTTTTAACTTATACTCTGTCTCACTTTTCCCCCCTTAAAGTTACTGATACATAGTTAAAAGAATACCAGTGATTTATACAGTTGACCGCTGTTCACGACTGAGATCATATAAAACAATCATTTTGCTTATATCCATCTATTATCCTTATCCCTCACCCCACAAATAAATAAACTTTATTCTGCTGCAAGATCATCTTCCTAAACATCAATCGGGTTATGTCATTCACCTCCAAATTTCAAAGGTTCCCACGAGCTATAAAATGATATCCAGTGTCCTATCCCAAGTAGAGTTTTTTTGTTTGCTTTAATAACAAAAATCTTCGCTTGAAGTGATCCAAAGAACATAAGAACCAATATAGCTGGGCACAGTGGCTTACGCCTGTAATCCCAGCACTTTGGGAAGCAAGGCAAGAGGATTGCCTAAGTCCAGGAGCTCGAGACCAGCCTGGGCAACATGGTGAGACCTCATCTCTACAAAAAGTCAAAATATTAGCCGGGTATGGTGGTGTGTGCCTGTAGTTCCAGCTACTGGGAAGGCTGAGGCGGAAGGATTGGCTGAGCCCAGCAGGTCGAGGGTGCAGTGGACGTGAATGTGCTACTGCACTTGAACCTGGGCAACAGAGTGAGACTCCTACTCAAAAAAAAGGACCACTAGACTTGTGTGGCTTCCTGTGACTCTACCAACTCACAGCAGCTTCCCTTCCATGGATACCTAATGGAGAAATGCCTATGCGAGCTTTACCCATCTGCCCCCATACCCCTCTGCCTTGGGTTCCTCAGCGCAATCAAGTTCCTTAGCCTCCGAACATATTTTGGTTTTAGCTCATGAACTGGCTTACTCTACAGACACAGGCTGCTGATGGCGTAGGGTTAAACAGGCAAAGCACACTTTTATTTTTTTTTGTTTTTTGTTTTTGTTTTTGTTTTTTTTGAGTTGGAGTCTCACTCTGTTGCCCAGGCTCCTGGCCACCGCAGCCTCAACCTGCTGGACTCTGGCGATCCTTCCGCCTCAGCCTTCCAAGTAGCTGGAACTACAGGCGCGTGCTACCACACCGGGCTAATTTTTGATTTTATGTAGAGATGAGGTCTCACCAAGTTGCCCAGGCGGGTCATGAACCCGTGGGCTCAGGCAATCCACTCACCTCAGCCTCCCAAAGTGCTGGGATTACAGGCTGAGTCACTGAGCCTGGCTGCAAAGCATACTTTTAATGCATTTCCTCTTGTTATAGTTTCCATTTTGGAAAAATGTATAAAATGTTTTACTCCTCAGTTCTGTGAAATTGTACTAAATGTTATCTTCCTCACAAAATTCCACCTTTTCATTTGAAAACCCAAATATTTACAGCCAGATGAGCCAGAATCTGGCTTATCAGAAAGGACAGCCTAACCAACAGGACATCTAAATTTTTGGAATCTGAAGTTAGAAAGCACATGTTTCTTCTTCTTGGTTTGATACGGAAGGCATGTGTGTCTTCCCTCCCATCCTATTCCATGTACTGTACGCTGGCTGAAAGGATTTAAATCTTTGTATCCACAGCTCTAAGGCTCCCTGCTTTCCTGGAGGATTCCCTTTGCAAAATCTTCTCTGGGAAAAGGAAACTCAAAGGGTAGAATACTAAGACAGGACTTAAGCAACTCAGATTGTATTAATTCCTAATCATTTGTGGTCTTTCCTAATCTGACCAAGTCTCTGTCCATCCAAAATAAGAACTGTCTGCTCCTTTCCTCAAGTCACATAATGAAAGACTGGGCATCTCATAAAAAATAACTCAAGTGGAATTCAGAGCTTCTATGCTTATATCATAAAGGCCAAACTTACAGAAAAGGTTTATCCTGAAGGGAGCAATCATAATAAACATAATTACAGAAGCCACACAGCTGTAAGCAGTCTCTGGGAGAAGTACCTTTGACTACAGATTACAGTGTAAGAATGTCCCAAGAGAGACAGTTTTCCTTTATGTGCTTTCTAGAGTTAAACAATTACTCTATTATAAAGCTTATCACCAAGAAACAAGTCCCTACTCATTCTTCTTCCTTCCCACATTGCCTCAAGATATAAATCTATTCAGCAAAATTGGATATAAATAGCAATTTATGAAGCTATAATGGCAAAATAAACCACAAAAGTGAGAAACATCAAGGATTTTCTAACTTTTATTGGAGAGGTCAGGCAATTACCATCAAGTATTCAAAGCTCAAATGATGGTACTAATTTGATTGAGTGTAGTTTTCAGCATCTTAAAAAGAACAATTCCCATAGAACTAACCACTCTAGAACCTGTGAAATTAACTGGTGTAGAAAAGAGAAAGGGAGCCCAAGTCTTCCTTTACGATATTTCCTGAACAATTGAAATAAAACTCAACTTCACTTAGCTTTATTTTCCCTTTCATAAGTGAGCATCTCCATGTCACTTATCAATTCCCCTACTCATATCACCTACAATATAGAGAACTATTCCTTATAAATACCCACAACCTATTAATAAACTAAACCTCAAAGCACTCAGATTTTAGTTAGAGAAGGAAATTATTTAGAAAAAAGTTGTTCTTCAAGGAAATTATACATCACTTTATTTGTCATATATAATTACCAGTACCAGAAGATAATATTTCTTCTTAGAATTCAAACATGTTGCCAAAGCTATTTGCAAATCTTTCAGTAGTAGTTTAGCAATGAATAACAATGAAGAAAGTTGGATAGGAAGACCAGTAATATTAGTCACTAATTTAGTGGCTCCCTCTCTTAACAAAAGAAACATTAAAATTACAATAACTTCTGAAAAGAAAACATTTGTATAAAGAGATACCAAAAGTGGTGAGTATTTCATAATATTTCTCCAAAATATGAGTAGAAATGAAGGTATTCACTTAACAGGCTTCTGTATTTTCTCTGGAGAATTTAAAGACAGGAATAGATAAGGGTATCTAGGACATTCTAAAAAGTAGTTTTCACTTTGACTATGACCCACAGTACCACAGTAATTAAAAAACACATTTTACATCAGAATGCATGTAAACATACATAACTTCAAATATATATGCATATGTAACTATTACAAAACAACACTTATTCAAACTATATTTTCTGTTCTTTACTACTTTCTTCCTTTTTGTTGTCTTAAACACTAGTAGTTGCCATTTAACTGATTTCATGTGAAGAGGGGCTACACACCCATAGTCTGGAGAATATTGGTCTGAGGGCAGTCTTACACTGGAATACAGTATAGGGATTAGGATAGTTCCAAATCCTGTACCTAGGAGCCCTGGGATTCCTGGCTCTGCGAGGACGGGGAAAGGAAAGCATGCACACAAAGCTTCTCAGCAATTATCTTAGGGTTTCGGGTAAGACTTAACTTAAAGGCGGAAGCAAAAAAAGATTCTCAGTTTAAAAAATTAAGTTTTGAAATCACTGAGTTAGATGACCTTTCAAGGACCCTTTCCAGTGTGTGCATCTAGAAATAAATATTCACTCCAAACTATAAAATAAACCACAAATCAATGTATCACTATAAAATCAAAACCACATCATGAGATCACAAAAACGTTTAATACTGGCCATTCAAAGCTTTATAACTTATAACGTTAGAATTTCTCAACATACTGCCTGTTAAAAGTGCTAAAGACTCCTCAGCCTCTCATCAAATTTCCTCCCCATCCTACAGAAACAACTTCCAAGACTTCTCTCTTATTAAAAGTACATTCTGCTCATAGTCCTTACTAATAAAGCAATTTTACATTTGCTAAATATAACACATTACCAAGTAAATACACTAAGCCATGTGAATTACTAGGACCCTTAGACGGTGATCAATCTAACAAACTGATGTTCCTAAACCAAAAACCTCGCAGCTTTTTTAATTCATAAAAACATGTATCCTCCCACTAGAATTACCTCCAGCCAAAATATACCGAGTCGGGTGCATAGCATTGATGGAACACACAGAGACAAGGTGTTCTCCATCAAGAAAAGAATGTACCCTCTTTCCTGTCTCATGGAAAATTTCCACCCGTCGTGGTTGGGCCATGCTGCCAACTATAACACAATCTTCTTGTTTAGAGTCCCACACAGCTTGGAACCTGGTCAGCCATCGCCCAGTGATGGTGTTGTGCCTGGTGGAAAAAACAACATATTTTTTAAAGAAGTAAGTGTTAAATAACTCAAGGTAGCATGGGGCAGAAGGTAAAGATGACCTTGCTCCTAAATGCCAGTTTTCTCTGCCAAGTTTCTTCTCATTAAGTTACTGAGCTACCACCAACCTTATCTTATCCTCCCTGAACAGAAATGACGTCTTCCTCATTTGTGAATTTCCAAAAGTAAAACATATGGAGTTCTTTATAGCTCTCAGAAGCAAAAAGAAAATTACTGCCCTTTTAGTCTCTATACTTTAATGCCACTAATAATCGTTTCTTATTAAAGTATGGACTACCTGGAAACAACCATGCTGCCCATCAAAAGAGGACTGGATTAAAAAAATGTGGTACATATACATACATGATGGAATACTATGCAGCCATAAAAAAGAACAAAATCATGGATTTCGCAGCAACCTGGATGGAACTAGAGTCTATAATACTGAGTGACCTCTCA